GCAAGCAGTTTCACTGGTTAATTGTCCTTACTGTTAGGAAGTTTCTCCTTAATTTCAGTTTGCTTCTCTCTTTGTTCAGTTTCCAACTATTGTGTCTTTTCCTGCCCTCTGGTGCTTTGGTGAATAACGTGACCCCCTCAAGTACTGGAATACTGCTATCATATCTCCCCTATTTCTTCTTTTCTTTAGACTAGCCAGACCCAAGTTCTGCAGCTGTTCTTCATATGTTTTAGTCTCCAGGCCTTTGATCATCTTAGTTGCTCTTGTCTGAATTTTTCCAACGCTCTCAACCTCTTTTTGTGATATGGTGACCACAATTGGCTGCAGTATTCCAGGCGTGGTCTTACTGGGGTTTTATAAAATGGTACTAGTACTTTGCATGATCTTGAGTCTATGTCTGTGTTTATACAATTGAAGATTGTATTAGCTTCTTTGGCTGCTGCTGCACACTGCTGGCTCACAGTCAAGTGATCGTCCACTAGGACTCCAAGGTCCCTCTCACAGTTCCTGTTTTTAAGCCCGGTCTCTCTAAATTCAGAACAGAATAACCAAATCATCTTGGAGGTCATTTAGTCCAACCACCTGCTCGTACAGGAAAGCCTATACCAGCGGTTCTCAACCTGTGGGTTGGGACCCCATTTGGGGTCGAATGACCATTTCACGGGGGTCGCCAAACAATGCAGTCCGCCATTTACCCCCCCTTTTCCTTAGCTGTGCTACTCCCTTTTATTGTATTGGCTTTTGAAAGCCAATAGAATAGACTCTCTTGAATAGAGTCCAATTCTATTGGCTTTCAAAAGCCAATAGGAATTGTCCAGGCTGTCTCTGCCCTGCTGAGCCCGCCAAAAGTCCCATTCTGCAAACGGTGCTGCACCAGTTGAGTAGTCCTCGACTTACGACCGGTTGGGGGTCACAGCATTAAAAAGGTTGAGAACCACTGCCCTATACCATTCTGGCTGTCCAAAAACTTTTCAAAAGTTCATTCACAACTTCTGAAGGCAAGCCGGGAAACACTGTCGGCAGCAAATGATCCGTGGGGGGGGGGGGGTGGAGAGGGAAAAACCGTTGGCAGCAAGCGATCCGTGGGGGGGAAGGGGGTGTTATGTATTCGGTTCTTAGGCAATTGAGGAAGGCACACGATGAACAAGTAATCTCTTTATTGAACTTCTCCTTACAAAGAAGCAAGCAGCAAGAGGCAGGGAGGCCTTTTAAAGAGTCCTAAACATGGACAATGTCAGCCAATAAGAAGCTGGCTGTTTTCGCGCCTTGCGCATGCGCACAAGGTTGGCGATAGCCAGTCTGGTCCCAGGCAGCTTTTGGTCTGCCCGGGACCATCTGCAACATTTCTGAGCCCGCTAAATGCTTCAGCAGGCTCAGGACACAACAGGGGGGTGCGGAGGGAAACACGGGGGAGGGGTATCAAGTGATCCGTGGGGGAGAGATGCGGAGGGAAACACGGGGGGGGGGGTATCCTCCTTCCCACCGCCCCACCTGCCAGAGGCCATCTGGATCTCCCCCAATCTTGCCCATCCCCCACAGGCATCCCTCTCCAGGAGCAACATTGGGGTGGCCACGCCCACCCAGTCTACCACGACCGTCATTGCCACGCCCACCCCGGCACCCATATTTGGTTTGCAGTTTGGGCACTCGGTCTCTAAAAGGGTTGCAACCACTGTGCTAAGGTGAGCTTACTGCGGAAGGACAAAGCGTTTGGAGGATTAACTTCCCTTGTAAAGAAACATGCAACGTGGTAAGTCCGGGGAGCTGCAGCATCTCCCTGGAAGAGCGGGCATCACTCGGGATACTGAGTCGTCCTCTCTGGCCGGGGTCGCCTGGGGGAGAAGGCAGGCAGGGAGGGGCTCTGAGTGCCCAAGATAGTTGGGGGGGGTCCGACCTGCCGCAGGCGGTGTGGGTGGGGATCTAGTCACGGGGAGAGGGACCTTCAGAAGGGGAAGCGGACCCCGAGCGGGTCCTTTGATGGCTCTACTGCACTTTGGATATGGTTTGAGTATCTTTCAATGATGCACCGCCCAGGGTCTTCCCCAAAGAAAATAAAGTCCACTGAAGCAGCTGAGTCTCCTCCGCCAGAAGCCACCTGCGGGTGGAGCCGGCTGTCAGTGGGGCTGGGCGTCCCCTTGGAGGGCTGCACCAGAGCCCAGCGAAGCCCGGATGGGAGCCTGGAGCGATGGGCGCTTAACGGGTGAGGGGGAGAGGGGGGAGAGGCGATCGGTGTGCCAGAACCCACGGGAGACGGAGGAAGTGGAGCGCTGCCCTGGGAGGCAGGCTGGCTGGGGGTTAGGCCGGGGATGGGGGGGGGGAGCGGCAGGTGCAAAAAGTAGCCCTCAAATCCTTCCAGGCCAACCTGCAGCTGATTCCCTCCAGTTTGGTGTCGAGCGATTTTTGCTTTTTCCGCGCAGTGCTGAAAACTTCGCAGGGAACTTTAGTTACGGGCTCCCTGATCCCTCCACCCTCCATTCCTCTTCTGTCCTCGGCTTCGCCTTCGGGCTGCATTTACAGAAGGGGCCACTGCTGCAGCCGCTCCATCTCCCTCTGCTTGGACTCTATTTCCGCACTAGCAAAAAGGGGAATGGCTGGCATGAAGGCGTGAATAACTGGTGCTATGGTTAGACCAGTGGTGGTGAACCTACGGCCCGCTTGCCACAGGTGGCAGGCAGACCCATCCCTGTGGGCACTCATGCCATCGCCCCAGAGGGAGGCTGGCCCGGGCTGCTCCCCCCCCCACTCCACGAGCACCACCGCTTTCGCTCCCAGCTCAAAGAAAGAGGTGTTCAGCTCAAGGGCCAGGGAGGGAATGGGGAAAAAGATTGCTCTTGCCACGATCTCTCTTCTGCTGGCCACCTGGAAGCCTGGCGGCATGGTTTTAGTGCAACAAGAGGACGAAATTTAGCAAAGTTTGGGCAGGGCAATCGTGTGGAAGGGGTGTGGGGAGGGAAACGCTGGGGACAGCAAGCCACCCATGGTGGGGGGTGAGGAGGGAAACGCGGGGGGGGGAGGCAGCAAGCGATCTGTGGATGGGGGTGTGGAGGGAAGTGCCGGGGGCAGCAAGCTATCCGTGTGGGGGGTGCAGAGGCCGTGGGGTGGTCACTGAGGGAGCTGCTACTCATGGATTAGGAGATGCTTGCTCATGGGGAGGAAAGCTATGGTAAATCTAGACAGCATACTGAAAAGCAGAGACATCACCCTGTCCACAATGTATGGCTGCAAAAGTTGGACCATAAGAAAAGCTGAGCGACAAAGAATTGAGGCCTTTGAACTATGGTGCTGGAAAAGACTCCAGCGAGTCCCCTGGACTGCAAGGCGATCAAACCGGTCAGTCCTAGAGGAGATCAACCCTGACTGCTCTTTAGAAGGCCAGATCCTGAAGTTGAAACTCAAGTACTTTGGCCACCTAATGAGAAGGAAGGACTCACTGGAGAAGAGCCTAATGCTGGGAAAGATTGAGGGCAATAGAAGAAGGGACGACAGAGACTGAGGTGGCTGGATGGAATCACTGAAGCAGTAGGAGTGAGCTTAAATGGACTCCAGAAGATGGTAGAGGACAGGAAGGCCTGGAGGAACGTTGTCCAGGGGTCACACTGTGTCTGACACGACTTTGCAACTGACAACAACAACATCTGTAGAATGCAATAAACAAATGAATTTATATTTTTTACTTTGTAACTATAGGAAACTTGTTAAAATATCAAATAATAGACTCAGGGTTATCATGGGGCAGATTGTATCAGAGCTATGTGAAGAAACCACTTTTCACAGTTGTTCAATTAAAAATTAAAAAAGAAAGATCCGGATGGAGAAAATCTGTAGTCATTGAGCCGTATTCTGTTCAAGAAAACTTGTGCTTTTTTGTCTTTATTAAGTTCACTGTTACCAAAACAACTAAGATTTCTAAATGATCACAGAACCTGAGTGTACCAAATGGTATTTGGACAAATAGAGGGTGTGTGTGTGTGTGTGTGTGTGTGTGTGAGAGAGAGAGAGAGAGAGAGAGAGAGAGAGAGAGAGAGCAAGAGCGAGAGAGAGCGATGAGAGAGAGAGAGAGAGAGAGAAGAGAGAGAGAGAGAGAGAGAGAGAGAGAGAGAGAGTGAAAGGCTGCTGTTGAGTACAGAAGCCCTCTTGGATTCAGACACAGTGTGCTACGTTCCTGGTCTGGGAATCCTAAGGGTGGATTCCCAAGGAGGGTGGAGAAGTTGGGGCAGATCCCCTCCCCTCCAGTGGGTAAACTGGGCTTTCACTCAGGAGCTCCTCCTTCGCTCCAGAGTTCTCCGGATCGGAGATGTGGCGTTAGTTAAAAGGAGGGGTAGGATTTTCAAAGAATCCCCCCAGAAAGGAGGGAGGCTTACTTGAATCCTGACTGATTTCTCAGTCCAAGGCCGAAATAGCTCCCAAACTGAATGTTGCTTACCCTGGTCAGAGAAAACTGAAGTGACGAGCAAGCAAAAATCCCCCTTGATCCGTCAGAAAACGATCACGAGACATTTGTGACAGCGCAAACCCTCCCCTCTCCGGAAGTTTGAGCAAAGCTGCCCCACGAAGCGCCGCGCCCAGTGAGTCCAGTGGCGGCTCCTTCCGCAGGCGTTTGTGTGTTTTTTTTTTTGACGGACTGGATTCCGCCGCTTAAATCTACTTTTTATTTCCTTTTGTGGCATTTAGAGACCCCCAAATAGATATCAGTCGCGGAAGGGCCAGCGGGCGGCGTGTCACGCGATCTTAAAACGCTTAAAACCGAATAAAAGTTACGATCCCTCAAGAAAAGATCCGCTCGGGGGCCGCTCCCGCCCTCCCCACGGCCCCCTCCCCCCCTTACCGTGACCCCCCCTCTAAAGTAGCAAATGGCGTTCGATTCCTTGGAGATTTTATAGAGCTGAATTTTAAAGAAAGGCTCGTAGTGTAACTTTATTCCTTAGCAGCCGAGAAAGCCTCGGGTCGCCCTGCTGGAGTCCAACGGAAGGGACGCCCACCAAACGCCCAAGGGGAGGAGCCGTCATTGCGGAACCGGAGATGGAGCCAATCGACGGAGGAGGAAGGCGTGAACGTCGGAATCGCCAGGACTGGGGGGGGGGGGAGAGGAGGGCGAGGATGACGGCACCTATTTAACCCGATGCGCGTCGTGCCGGCGGGATCTTGGTCCTCTGCGGGAGATTCGACGGTTTCAGTTCCGCGGAGAAGGAGCGATGCCGCGCGGTAAGCCGGCAGGAGGAGATGCGACGCGGGAGGCAGGGAAGGCAGCACCGCTCGGGAGGCAGGGAAGGCAGCACCGCTCGAGAGGCAGGGAAGGCAGCACCGCTCCTGCCGCCCTCGCCCGGGGGAGAAAGGGGGGCAGCGGGAGCCTTGGGGTGGCTGAAGAGGGGATCCGACGTGCCTGCGGGCGGTCAGGGAGAGGCGAGGGGGACCTTCGGAACGGGCCCCTGAGTGGAGGGTTTTATCGAGGCCTCGTTCTTTTGTACGGCTTTAGGTTCTTTTTTTCTTTCAGTTAGACCAGGGGTAGGCAACCTTGGCTCATTTATGACTCTGGACTTCAACTCCCAGAATTCCTGAGCCAGCATGGGTCAGCTTGGAATCTCTCCCTTTCCCCTCAGCATGGCTGGCTCAGGAATTCTGGCAGCTGAAGACCACGAGTCATAAAAGAGCCAAGGTTGCCTACCCCTGAATTAGACACTGCCCGGTCTCCCTAGGTCAGGGGTCTTCACACTTGGCCCTTTTATGACTTGTCGACTTCAACTCCCAGAATTCCTAAAGCATCGTGCCTGGCTGAGGAATTCTGGGAGTTGAAGTCCACGAGTCCTAAAAGAGCCAAGGTTGCCTACCCCTGGTGAATCAGGTGCGGGGTATCTAAATCCCACGAAGAGCATAAAATGTAGGCGGCGGCATCGAGCCCCGTCAAAACCCACCCGCGGAAGGAGCTGCCACGAGTCGTGGGGCTCGGCGCCTCCGTGGAGGGCTGTCCGGGACCCCGCGATTGTCCCCCACACCCTTCATCCTTCGGCTGCCCCGCCCTGGCTCTCTGGCTTCTCCTCTCGAAAGGGTCGCTGCTGGGGCCTCCTCCGCCCCCTCCCCACCCTCGTCTCCCGCTCGGCTCTCCCCTCTTAAACTTTCCCCGCAGTTGACCAGGGCTGTAGCGGGAAAGAGGGGGGGGAGGGAGGAACTCCCTCCCACCACAGTTGGTTTAACCAGGGAAGAAGCTGGCTAGTGGGAACCAGCTGGATTTTCCCCTTTCCGCCTTCCTCGCTGCAGCTCTTCTCCCCACCCATCTGAGATCGAGATCCCTTGAAAGGGAGAGGAGGAACAGCCCTCGGCTAAACTTCTCCGGAGGGACCTCTGGGATTTTGGATACATCCTCCTCTGGGATCAGCTGCGCAATTCCTCCTCTGTTGTTTCTGGCAGGACCAAGGAGGCTGCAGGGGGCCCTGCTTCTGGCTCTCCAGCCAGGACACACACCCCCCCCTTCGGAGGTCAGTTTGTGGGGGACCCAGGACTCCTTGGGCCTTTCCCTGTCTGGGCTCCCTGGGGGCTTGAAGGGGGACATGGGAGGGAGATTCTCTTGCTGCAAAGAGAGTTGGGGGAAGGGGAGTGTTTGGATGATGGTTTGGGAAGGGTGGGGTCTTCCCCGGCACATTCCCAAATTTACTCCAAAAGCGCCTTCCTTTCTTTACCTGCATTCATCTATTTTAGCATAAAGAAGTGAAAGGAAGCCTCTTGATATTGTGTGTGTGTGTATGTGTGTGTGTGTTTCTTTTCATCTCAGGTCAATTCTCCTCTTACAGGTCAAAAGGAAGCCCAGGTGTAATTGGGCCTTTCTCTAGTCTCAGGTCAGCCTCTGCCATCCCACTATTTGTCCCAGCACCATTCCTGGGAGGTCCTCAGTAATAACCTCTGGGAGAGAAACTGGATGGGAACCAAATGCCCCAACCCCCCCTCAGGAGCCCTGATGGTGGTCAAGTGTCTAAATTGACCTCTGTTGCTCTTGTAACTCAGGATGGATTCCAAATTGCAGCCTATCTTCAGATCCAGTTTGGGAATCCTGGGGTCCAAAGTAATTGGGAGAGAGAACTGGGGATCCTGCTCTGACATACACCCTTGTGAAGGAATTGCCTGCAGCCTGAAACGTGTGTGGGAGATGAAAATATAGCCCCCTCCTCATATAACAGGGTGAGGCTGGAGCCAACCTGAGATAGGCCCCACAGCAGTGATTTAAAGCTTTAACTTGAACTTTATATTGTTTCACAATAAGAACCTATTCTTTGTAATCTGCTGAGTTTTGTGCAATATGAAATTGCAAAATAGTTCCGTGTATATTTGGAACATGAGTATTGTAACCATGGGAAAAGAGGAACTGAAAGTAACAGATGGATAGAGATTTCAGATGTACACGGGTGAGTGTATGTGGAAACTGCTGGTCAGCACAAAAAAATAAGGAACTGATTTTGCAAGATAATGACTATCTCTGGTTGGTTGTTAGAAGAAAGGTATAAAAATGTTAGCTTAAGTCTGGCCATTGGCCTATAGCTGTCCTTTGGAATTTGCTATGCCATATGGCCCTCTTTGCAATGGATTATTAGTGTAAGTGATGTTGTGTTGTTATGGTTGTTATGTTTCAATTTTTTTTTTCTGGTTTTCCCAGTTGCAATGTATGGCTGTGAAAGTTGGACCATAAGAAAGGCTGAGCGACAAAGAATTGAGGCCTTTGAACTATGGTGCTGGAGAAGACTCCTGCGAGTCCCCTGGTCTGCAAGGCATTCAAACTGGTCAGTCCTAGAGGAGATCAACTCTGACTGCTCTTTAGAAGGCCACATCCTGAAGTTGAAACTCAAGTACTTTGGCCACTTAATGAGAAGGAAGGACTCACTGGAGAAGAGCCTAATGCTGGGAAAGATTGAGGCAACAGAAGAAGGGGACGACAGAGAATGAGGTGGCTGGATGGAGTCACTGAAACAGTAGGCATGAGCTTAAATGGACTCCAGAAGATGGTAGAGGACAGGAAGGCCTGGAGGAACGTTGTCCATGGGGTCACGATGAGTCGGACACGACTTCATAACTAACAACAAATTATTAGCAAAATAAACCTCTGAATTTTAAGGTAAGAATTATTGTTTTGTGCTGCTGTCTCTTATCTTTTTCATTGGGTTTTTCCATGACACATGTATGGGGGAGGGTCTGGGCAGCTCCTTCTCCTTGCACAGAAGCCCCCTGGGATCTTGGGGTGGGGGTGGGGTGGGATGCCGCAGGTGTCAGAGAATACAGAAAGAATGCTAGATAATAATCCATAGTCAAGGGAACAATCAAAAGGTTAAAAAAAGAGAGATCTGGGTACCCTGAGTCCCTGGAGAATATTAGCTGTCCACATTGAGGGTACTTTGTGGGGCAGCTTTCCTCAAATTCTGGGAGGGTTCAGCTGTCACAACTGTCTCCTGACCGTTTCTTCACAGATCAAGGAGGATCTTTGCTTCCTTGGAACTTCAATTTTCTCTGGCAAGGGTGAGTAAATGTGAGTTTGGGAGATATTTTTGGATTGGAGTGAGAATCAGTCAGGATTCAGGAAAACCTCACTCCTTTCAGTGGGCCTGCTCAATGTGGGGTTCTTTGAAAATGGAAACCTCCCTTTTGAAATGAACATCTCTGATCTGGAGATAGCTGAAGAATGAGGGGCGAGTTGACAAGTGACAGCCCATTTGCCTCGCTGTAGCTGGAAGAGGATCTGTCCCAAATTCTTTTCCCTCCTGCCTGGGGAATCCTCCCTCCAGCTCAGCATCCTCTCCTGGTCTTCAGCTTTGTGTTCTGGAGTACCCAATGCTACCGCTTGCCAATCCATATCAGATTTCCCAAGGATATATTGTGAGCACCCATAATTCCCTCCAATCAATTTCCCTTATATATTAGAAGGCTATTCCCATACCAAGAGATGGGGGGGCATTTTAAATTCAGTTCAGTTTAAATCCTAAACCAGTTTTCAGCAGTTGCTCCTTTAAGAGCAAACCGATACATTTGTCTCCAGAAGAAAGCAATTCTCCAAATAGTAAGACAGTGGTTCTCAACCTGTGGGTCGGGACCCCATTTGGGGTCGAACGACCATTTCACGGGGGTCGCCAAACAACGCAGTCCGCCATTTTTCCCCCCTTTCCTTAGCTGTGCTACTCCCTTTTATTCTATTGGCTTTTGAAAGCCAATAGAATAGACTCTCTTGAATAGAGTCTAATTCTATTGGCTTTCAAAAGCCAATAGGAATTGTCCAGGCTGTCTCTGCCCTGCTGAGCCCGCCAAAAGTCCCATTCTGCAAACGGTGCTGCACCAGTTGAGTAGTCCTTGACTTACGACCGGTTGAGTAGTCCTCAACTTACGACCGGTTGGGGGTCGCGGCATTAAAAAGGTTGAGAACCACTGTAGTAAGAGATTCGGACAGGTTCTGAATTTCTGCCGATTTCTTAAGACATTGCCAGATCCCCGACGTGCCCCTCCCCCTCATCCTGAGCTCCCAGAATGAAACCCCCTCCTCACCTGCTCCTTTCCCGGCTCTTCCCTCTGGGCTTGGCTCAGCCGGAAGCCTTTCCTGGGAACAGCTCTGGGCTCCTCTCTCCCTTGCTGTCCCTCGCCTGGCTTGTCCCTCGCTTGGTTTGCTTCCGTCTCTGTCTCCGCAGGGCAGCAGGGCCAACAACTGCTCCAGCACCACCAGTTCCAGCATCTCCGCAGCCACTCGTGGCACAAGCTCCCAAGGCCTCAGCCTCTTGGCAACAGAGACTGCACAAGGGGCGTCTGATATGAGGGGATAGAAGAGGCACCCCATAAATTTGCAAACAACCCCAACAACTTTAAACAAGGCTTTAGGTTTAGAGACAGACTCAAGATTCAGAAGCATCTGGACAGAGTCAAACCCCAGGCCCTATGCAACAAAATGCAATTGATCAGAAAAATAAGGTTTTTGCACTCAGGCAAGAAAAAAACAGAGGTGTAGACTAGGTGGCGTCTGGCTCAGCAGGCTCAGCATTTTGGAGGGTTTTTTTGTTTTTTTAGTAGTAAAGTTGGAAGGGACCTTGGAGGTCATCTAGTCCAACCCCTGCTCGGGCAGGAAACCCTACACCATTTCGGACAAATGGCTGTCCAGTCTCTTCTTAAAAACTTCCAGTGTTGGAGCATTTACTGCTTCTGGAGGCAAGCTGTTACACTGATTAAATTGTCTCACTGTCAGGAAAGTTTCTCCTTCGTTCTAGTTGAGTCTTACTGATGAGTTCACCCGTGCTTCTTGTCCGCCTTCAGGTGCTTTGGAAAATCTTTTGGAAAAATAGCTTAATTCCCGTCTTCTTTTATGGCAGCCCCTGAGATATGGCATACTGCTATCATGTCCCCCCTGTCCTTCTCTTCGTTAAACTAAAATACCCAATTCTCGCAACCAGTTCCGTTATATGTTTTTAGCCTCCAGTACCCTAATCATCTTTTTTGCTCTTCTCTGTACTCTTTTTCTAGAGTCTCCACATCTTTTTTTAACATACTATGGTGACGCAAAACTGGATGCAGTATTCGCAAGTGGTGTCCATTACCAAGGCATTGAAGAGTGGTATTAAAAAAAATAACTTCACGTGATTTGATTCTTCCCTCTTGTTAATGGCAGCCTAGCACTGTGTTGGCCTTTTTGGCAGCTGCAGCACACTGCTGGCTCATATTTAGGTGATTGTCCACTAGGACTCCGAGGTCCCTCTCACGGTTACTGCTATTGAGCAAGGTACCCCCTATACTATACCTGTGCATTTTTTTTTCTTGCCTAAATTTAGAACCTTGCTTTTTTCACCACTGAATTTCATTTTGTTAGATAGCGCCCAGTGTTCAAGTCTGTCCAGATCCTTCTGTATCTTAAGCCTGTCTTCTGGTGTTGGCTATTCCTGCCAGCTTGGTGTCGTCTGCAAATTTGGTGAGTTCCCCATCTATCCCTTCATCCAAATCGTTGATGAAGATGTTGAAGAGTACTGGGCCCAGAACAGAGCCCTGGGGCACCCCACTACACACTTCCCTCCATATAGATGCAGTTCCATTGAGGACCACTCGCTGAGTACGGCCAGTCAGCCAGCTACGGATCCATCTGGTGGTGGTTCTGTCTACCCCACATTTTTCTATCTTGTCAAGTAGTAGGTTGTGATCTACTTTATCAAATGCCTTACTGAAGTCCAAGTAAATTATGTCCACAGCATTCCTCTGATCCACTAATTTTGTCACTTGGTCAAAGAATGCAATAAGATTTGTCTGGCATGATCTATTTTTGACAAACCCATGTTGGCTTTTAGTAATGACTTTGTTTGCCTCTAGGTGTTCGTTGATTCGTTGTTTGATTATCTTTTCCAGGATCTTCCCAGGTATTGAGGTCAGGCTGATAGGTCTTTAATTTCCTGGATCCATTTTTTTTCCTTTTTTGAGGATGGGAACTACATCAGCTCTTTTCCAGTCCTCTGGTAGTTCCCCTGTGTTCCAGGATCTTTGAAAAATATAGTTCAGTGGCTCCGATATCACATCTGCCAGTTCCTTGAGAACTCTGGGGTGTAATCCATCTGGTCCTGGCGATTTGAACTCATCTAGGCTGGACAGGTGCTCACTAACCATTTTCTTGCCTATCTTAACTTGTGTTTCTGTTTTGTTTTTTATGGCACTATTTTTGATAGGTTGGTCTGTTTTTTCCCTTTGTGTAAAGACAGATGCAAAAAATGAGTTAAATAGTTCTGCTTTCTCCCTGTTGCTTGTCCCCTTCTTGCCACTTCCACCCACTAATGGACCAATCATTTCCTTCACTTTTTTTTTG